TCGATCGCGTTAAGTAATTAAAGAATTTAGAAAGAAAAAGAAAAAATAGTACTTTTATATAAATAGGCAGACAAAACTTTATATTTATTTGTAAAGTATAATTTCTCGTCTTGGATATCTAATACTATTTTCTTTAAGGACTATTATTCTTAAAATAGACATTTACTGTATATTTATCTTTAAAAGATTATAAGAAAAACAAAGAAAGGAGTTCCTCTAGTACTATTGTTTTGTTTGCATTTTTGAATAATATAAAATTTCTAAACAGAGAAATCGTGCGTTTATAGATTAATTAGTAAATTCTGTATTAATTATAAATATGGATCTATAATTTACTTAACGAGACCGACTTGATTATTAGACATAAAACTACGATAACTAGGTATGTATATACGACATCTAAAATTCATTAAAAATTTATAAATATTTTTGTCTTTCGGTGGATTCATAATTTTGTGATGATTATTATATTTATATAAATTTATGTATTAATTTACGTGTGTAAGTTATGCAAAACATTCAAATCACACCTTTCAGATTGTACCTTAAATTAAGGACTAATTTATAAGTGCAATGAAGAATATATATATACATATATATATATATATATATATATATATATATATATATATATATATATATATATATATATATTTGTTATTTATAGGTGATTAAAGTCCTTAATCTAAGGTATCTAAAACATTTTTCGATCAATTACATCTATAAACGTCAATAATAAAAATAATGATGCTTCCTCATTATTTTTCAAATCCGGTAAAGTTAAAAGGATGACTTGCGAAAGAAGATTAAATTTGAATCTATCAGTCTCGCAGTGTTACAATTTTTCATATATTAATTTGTATATATAAGAAGTCGACAAAAAGTAAAAAAAGAAACTCATGTACCTAACATGTATTTTATTAACATTTGAACATAATGATCAATTCACACTAAAAGGAACGCGACACGACACATACAACAAATATTGATTTGAGACAAGTTAGGTACCATTGTACTGTTTTTTACATAGTAAATTAATAATTATTATATAACTTGATGAAAAATTTAATATTTTTTAAATAAATATAATATATAATAAAAAAATATTAAATAAATTTAAAATTTAGTAAAAAATTGAGATGTTGACTTCGTTTTTTTTGACATTTCTCAATTATAAAAAAAAAATATCGCGTTGTTTTGTATGTGAATAGTGTTTTAATTATAAAAATCTTTTCATAAATTTTAAGCTCTTTACATGAGCTTCAATTAATTCAAGCATTTCATCATGATTTGCTTGATTTTTTTAAAACCGTACACAAAATGGTAACATATAACTGGAAAATGTAGAAAATTACGTCATGCACAAGGTTACAACCATTATGATTAAATTGTGTTCTACAAAAGAAAACCGGCTTTAATTATAACAATACCAGTTATTTTTATTTAAAAGGTAAACTACTGAATTAATTTTTATAAAACTTTTATAGGACCAATCTGTAAGTATATCCTTTCAGATAAAAAAAGGACTTTCCAAATTGGTTTACAATTAACGGAACTATGTGGTAACAAAAAAAAATATAATTGAAGAAAGAACCTACTTTTTAGAGTCGGATGAAAAAATATTATATTGTTGGTTTTTATTGAGTTTAGTATTTTTATTTTTAATAAAACTGATACGAATACATAAATAAAGAGCATCTCCTTCTTTTTTCTAAACGGATATGAAATAAAGTACATATGGGAAAAACATCCGATTCTCGGATTTTGAAATTGAAAATAATTAAATTTATGTTCTATTTCGGATAAGAAAATAAACAATTTTTATTAAAAAAAAAAATATTACCATTTTGTACACTATTTTATTCTTCTATCATTAATTACCGTGGTTTCTTCCCCTGGTAATTACTCTTTAGTTTCTTTAGGCTGGTCGGTGTATACTATCTCAGCATACTCTGCGGATGGTGGTGGTGGCTTTTCAGTAGACGCCTGGTCTCCAAGGGCCAGCTCAGCGTACACCACGCCTTTCTTCTCTTCTGACAGGGGCTGAAATGAAAGAGATTGCTTGAGTTTTCTTACACTGTTCTTGATTCCATTGTGAATTTTTCTTTGACTTTTTTTATTCTGCCGTAAATGGCAAACATTAGATAATAAAATGAATCAATGTTTTTTCTGAGTAAGGGTGAAAATTAGATGGGCATGTAATTAGAAAAAAAAAAATTAGTTCCCGTAATATTTCCGAGAACGTAAAGTATTGGTCAAGGCAATTTGTTAAACTATTATTTTTAAATATAATTTTATGTGTCAAAATTTATACATTATTATAATAAAATTTGTTATTTTCAGATGTTTTATTTTTAATAATATAGACATATTGTTTAGATATAAATTACTGTTAAACACGCTTTTGTAGTAAGACTTCTAACCATGTATCGAACATCTATTTATCAAGAGACGTATTTTTTTGGGGTAGAATATATGCTAAATATAATAAGATTATCCACTGACCTTCTCCTCAGTTTCAGCAGCGTGACTCTCGGTGGCTTGCACCTTATCCTTTGCCCTAGGTAGGGCGGCCCTCACTCTCGCACTGAGCCCCGCTAGCCGCGACCTCTCGCGCCCTCCCACGGCACTCTCCGTGTCGCTACTGACCACAACACTAGTTAAATATTGAAAAAATAAAAATACCAAAAAATAAAGCAAATTTCGAATTTAAATAAATATTTTGAACATAGAATATCCTGTGTTATAAGAAAACGGAATCCATAAGCCTATTTAGAAAAATTCTTTACTAAATTGGCCTGGTCGAGAATAGAATCTGACTTCATTCATGCAAAGCAATATAGATATAACTGCGTCACGGAGATCGTCGTGTATAGTTGAGACGGATACTAATAACACATTTTGTTATTATAAAAATTAGTCAATCCCACTCTTTACAGTCTGTACTAAGAACATGGTCATTTACCTATAATAGAAAATAGGCTTAATAAAAAATATAATAAGGGCCAATGTACATTGAGCGAAACGGTATATAAATTGTGGGATTCATTAAAATCATATTTTTTTTATAAATATTGATAATCACTGGTAGAACACCACTGTATTAGTAATAGTTAATAATAACCACAGATAATATTATATTAGTAATAATAGGTATCTAGTACCTAAAAGTGTTTCGCAATGGGAATAAATGAACACTTCAAGAAATTAAAAATCAGACTGTGTGATTGCTCCTTTTATATTCCCCTTTTTGATATTTAGATACAATAAATAAAAAATACAAGGCCATATTTTTTTCCAGAGGTGCAGTATGCATTACCTTTTGTGCGACTTTTTTTTTAAATTAAACAAAAGCTAAGCATGACAGGCAAAAAGAGTTAGACACGTACGTTCTAGAAGGAACCGGCAGCCCCGCTTCTAAAAGCACATCCCCAGCGGGCGTCCTTAAAAAAGCGTTATTTACATAAGCACAAGGTTTAGAACTTTAGAATAAAACAGCAAAATATAAATACGGACCGAGTTAAATATTAATCACAATTAGGTACATAGCATAATTCAGTAAGTATTTATTACAAATATAATATGTTTTGGCCAAGTAGTTTGTGAAATGAAGAATTTCTCTAAACGAATAAAAGAAAATTAGGAAAAACACTGGCCAGTGTGTAGTTTTTTTTTTTTTTATAAAAAAATTGCAACAGTAAAAAACAAAAGATTTAAAAAAAATCTATGAATAGAATATTTAAAAAAATATGCCATTGAATTATTGAAAGTAGATACGTACGATTCCCCAGAACTTTTCGTGTGATCCCGAGCTCTGCTGCCTGAAAGAACAAATAATATAATAAATATAAGCTCGTTATTTATGTTATTGATTTACATTTAATACGTTTACCTTCCTTGTTATAGATGTAGGTTAATATTATATATATTAGATATTAGGTAGGAATATCGAATCACAAGTCACAACATATCTACGTGTGGATTGTAAGTTAGTTTCAATTTAATATTTGGTATATTTGGTATAATTAGCCGAGTTAGTCTTGAGATTGGTTTCGACGAGTAACTTTAATAGAAATTTCAGTAAATGCGAGTTGATTCGTGCAAAGTTTAATAGCTATGTTTGGTTAAACTGTTTCCAGACATCCTAAAGTTTGCATAATTATGAGTTTTTATTTTTTTATTTTATAATAAATTATAATAAATTCTTGTTAATTTTAAGAGGAAACGAATACTGTTGTAATATTTGAGCATAATAGTCTAGCCGTGTGACCCTGGCAAAGGCCATGCCACCCCTTCTTTTCCCGTAGGTGTCGTAATAGGCGACTAAGAGAACTTAAAGGTCGAGGAATAGGCAGCAGCGTCTTTCTTCAAAGATCACCAAACCCTGTGGTTACTAACCTGGTTGCCAAGCGTAGCAATTACTGGCAAAACACCCCTTTATGGGGGAGGCCTATGTTCAACAGTGGACAGTTAACGGCTAAATAATGATGATGAATAAACTGTTTAACTTTATTTTTATGGTTTAACTTAATTATAAGAATAAATATACAGGAAATTGTATTAGTATTTTTTTTTCGAGGACCACACACTATTTCAGATATCATTAGACTCCACAATGAGTGTTTTTGGTTTTTTTTTTATGATATTTAAATTAGCAAACAAGCTGACGGTCCACCTAATGGGAAGTGGTAACCATCGTTTATAGGTATGAACTGCACTGTGGACATACTTTTTTAATACTACTATGGTGACAAACAAGCATACGTTACGTCTGATGGTAAACGGGATTACCGTAGCCTATGGACTCTTGTAACACCAGGGATGTCATGCGCGTGCTGTCGACCTATCAACATCATCAACTCCTTATGCACTGCCATTCTTAAGGACTATGGTGCTGTGGCATCATTTTTCTGTGCCAATTACATCCAATTTCTAGAACACCCCAATAATGTAACCTTACTTAAATGAGTTTAAATACGGCCAATGTATAGCTCTATAGCGGAATTCTATTATTTTTTATTTTACTATAATGAAAGTAGTAAAGAATGTAGTGGAAGGGGCGACCATTGCCTATTACATTATAGAATAAGTACAGTGTCATACCTAGTGTTGACTCGGCACATTTATAATATCGTATTAAATTTTACACCAGCGACGATAATGTTATCGTGCTCTTCATTTCAGATACTGAAGCTGCGACCTTTTAATCTAGTAATGATAAAATCAGTCTAAGAATTTTTGATTAAATAGTACAAGCACAATTATAAACAGGCGTATGGAGAGGGGGAGGGGATTATTAGTAACGCAGACTATCGGCCTCATTACTAGCACTATTAGGTCAACCTTCATGTGGTCCCGCATGGAAACCATCGTACTGAATTTCAGGTGAATTCATAACGACGGGCTAACTGACCTTCCTTTTCATTCTTACTTATCGTCGCTTACAGCGGGGTTACTATTCCATTATCATCTATTAAAAAAACAGGCATATTTAAGAGAGGAGCCGGGTGAATTATGCCCACCCCAGAATTTGAACGGTGTTTCCAAAGACATCCTAATATCTCTTTTTGTTGGGTGAGAAGGGATTGTTAGTAATGGAAAGATCAGTCTCCATTGCTATCAATATACCCTATCAAGTCGATATCCACGCGGTTCCTTCTGGAAACCATCGTAACTAATTTATCATTGAATTCGTTACAGTAGGCTAACTGTCTTTTCATTTTCACCAATCAACCCTCACTGGTGCTCCGCCAGTGTATACCGATAGCGTAGGCGGGGTACTACTCCACTAATTATTCATTAAAAAAAAAACTTTTTTTGAAAAAGTCATCCTCATTTTGATTGATTCTTTTGTATAATTACGAGATATCTTTGGGATTCTGACAATTTTTTTGCTAATGCTCAAACTTAGTCACACCTATTAATTTGGTCACGTTTGAAGATGATTTTAAATTCATAAGAAATTGTAGATGTAATCGTGGTTTACCACGGTTCATGAACCTTGGTCGGACATTTTATTAAAAATATACTTTATAATTTTTACCGGTTCGTCTTCAAGAACCGACCATTTTATTCTGTACCTACTTATGATTTTTGTACTTACCATGTGAAAATGTTTCAAAGCCTATTAATGTTTTCTATTTTATTTTTATTTTATCAAATTTTTTTATATCGTGCCTTTACCAAATTCGATAATTCTTTTTAGTAATCTGTATAGATTATTCATGTACTGGTCAGTTGGTGTCCCTGGACTTTTTTTGGGATGTTAGCAACACGCTCATATAGGTATTTTTCTTTCTTGAATTGTTAATAATATTTTTATATTAAAAAAATGTTGTCTGAATTGTAGGCAACCATCTGTATTTTCGTCTTTTATTATTTATGTATTTTATCAAACCGGCGTAGGTATATATATCAATCAATATATATATATATATATATATATATATATTGACACGTAACCTATTCCAACGATAACAGTTATCGTATTTTCCATTTGACCACTCACTTTTTATGTGCAATAAAAACAAATAAAACAAGTTATATCTTATTTAATAAATACTTTATGTTTAATTACATTTATTTCAGAGTAACGTAGTGTTCCATAAACATCAAATACGCAATTGATTATTATCAAGACTTATACAAACTTTCGATTCTCATAAAAACTTTGAACAACTGTTATATAACATGTCTAAATAGAAACAGTAAATTTAATTATAACCTTAATTTATATAATTATATATTAAGATTATAGTCGGTTGATAATAATGGCTTACACATAATTAGGTAAGTCTCTCTTATGACATGTTACATAATATTATATAGAAAAAATGCTTGGTATTAAAAAAAAAACTGTAAGCTTATTTTATAAAAGCATTAATTTGGCGAAGTGCAAAATGGCAGTGTTTTCAAACATTGATTTTTTATCGTAATTGACATCCAAAATTCGGTATAAACGATTGAGGGTATGGTACTTAAAAACTAAGGTTGGTACAAAAATAATACGTTGCATACCTATTTAATATAATATACTAAATAAAATCACAATTTCGGTGACTTATATTTATATCTAAAATTAAACTAAAAATATTTTTTACAAAAAATTGAGTCATGAAACAGTTGGACGCGTTTCTTCATATGAGACTTCATCATTACATTTGTAACTTATTTTTATATATATAAACCTAAAGTGAGAAGCATTTTATATACAAAGAAATATAAAAGGTGGTACGAACACATGTAATAACTATATAACTAATTGAAATACAGGTGAGATTAAAAATGTTAAATAAAGGCTTATTAATAATGTTGTACGCAGTAGCAGTACTGTTATTAGGTAATATAAAATAGTCATCTTGAATCCTAGTAAATAGTACAGGGCTCATGGTCATCCAACACTGTTGATGAAGACCTACATATATAAAGGAGATTACAAATTCGATTCATAGTTCGGCAAATTAGGAAAAAAATTTTTTTTTTTAATTAGATCGGTTGTTGGTGGCCTGGTTTATGCTTTAAAATATCACACTGGTTAAGGTTTTAAAAGCTTATGATATATAATTTTAAGAACAACGTGACTGTTTCATTTAAAATAAAATTTTAACATATTGTATTTAAAAAGAATATTATTGACAAAAAAGACTATACTATTAATACCACTGTGCTGCCTGTAAGTTTTCAATATTCGTATTTAAAAAAATTAGTTAATACACTGTAAAAACTTAAATCTAGGCTAAACTCAACCTATTCATCGGATATTATAAACAAAAATTTATCAGTCAATTTTATTAGAGGACTAAGAGGTGTCCTCGATTCAATTGTTCTAATAATTTGTAACATATACATATAAGGGTTTAGGCGCTTTTAAAACTGAAGACGATTTGTCTTTAGTTTTAAATATTATTATAAAAATATATCCATTAAGGATATTAAAAAAAAATATTTTTAATTGTTTTGTTTTGTTTCAAAATTAACCCTCAACGTCAAAGCTTTAAAGCGCGTGCTACCTGTCAAAATGTCGATTTTAAAAGCTGGATATTAAGTAAATATAAAACCTTTAAAAGAAACGGTTAAAAGCAATTTATTGACGTTGCTTTTTATTTAACTAATGTAATCTTTACTTGTCTCCGTTCTGAAATTCTCCTAAAATAACATCGAGGGGAAGATTTTCATTATATAATTATGTTTAACCTTTTGCATTACTTATTGAGATTAAAAAAAGTACTTTATAATAAAATTAAGTGTATATACAAATTAGAGAGACAAAATAAAAAAAAAATGCCTAAGTTTCCGTCGTAGTACATAGTCAGAGTGCATGGTTAATGACGACAATAACTTAACAGTATAAAAAAGTGATCCCCAAAGTAAAAATAAACTATCTACTTAAGTAGGTATATTTAGTAATATCAAAATAGAACGGCTTATAAAATTCACAATTATATTATTACATAAACAAATACTTGTAATATGTCTCAGAAATTTTAAGAAATTGATCTATAAAGATTTTATATCTAAAGAGCATTATTTGAGATTTCTAATAACATAGTGGAGTTGCTATAAAATATAATAAGGCGCCATTTATAGATTGTCTATGAAATATATTCACGGGTATATTCGTTGCCATTTAAGATTGAAGGCTTAAACGACTAGTTAGGTACTTTATATCAAAACTCATGGTCAAGAGTAGAATAGCAAAGTGAATAAGCATAATATATAATCAGTTTCTAATATAATTTTATTATTTTCTTTAAAATTTTTTTATATGAGTTCTCATGGACATCAACCCGATTTCTTGATTGATTTAAATATTTTTTTTAACAATAATTATATTTTATAGATTTTTTTTATTGATACCACTTATTGTTAATAGCCAATTTTAAAACATACAATAAATAATAATGTCGGTTTAAACGAGCCTTATTTCCGACGTCATCTTGGTGTTGACTTTTCTAACACCTGTGTATTATGCAAATACCGATAAATTATGGCAAATTCTGACAGATCTGATTAATTATTATAAGCTCTAGTTTATATTGCTCGATTGTAAATAATCTAAGTAACGGGGTCTATTTTGATTAAAAATGTGTAAACAGACTCTGATTCAGTTCAAAATATTTTCTTTTACTTAGTATTATATAAATGTATATTAGTTAAAAAACAATATGCCATAAAACATACCTTTCATTCTATTTTCAACACAAAATTAAAAATGTTAAATAACAAAGCAACTGTTTGTGTTAAAATATTCCGTTTTATCTATTACAATTAGGTTTATTGTGGTCGCTTTGTATATTTGAAAATGCCATCGCCCCGCTTGATACAGTACAATTTCATAGTCAAATTCTAAATGGCGTAATGACGTGATGTTACCTCGGTTTAAAACTCGTTGTGAACAAAAAGTCCATTTCTACTTGAGATTTCTATTCTCACTGATTCCATTAAGGGCGATGTACCCATCTGTGACTCGGACCGTTGTTTTCGAAGCAAATTTTCATTAGTATACAGGTGAAATAATTTGTGAGTTAATAACGGGACCAAAACAGATGGGAACAATACCCAAGTTACATAAATTCTAAGTACAAATGAGTAAAAATTAGACAACGGATTATTTATTCTATACCTAGATATATTTTTTCGAAATTGGAAAACAATGAAAATCCACTGGGTTTCAAAATAGTTCATAATAAGCTTTATTAAAAAAAATGGCCGTTAACTTTTTATACGAGTATCTCTATAAAAACCAATTCATCTATTAAAATTAAAGTGCTATATTTTATAAGTTTAATTTAATATCTTTATAAAAAAATCTTAATTATAAAATGGTCTCCGTAGATTCGTTGCTACATAAAGAATTTTATATTAAGTAACAATATTTGAAGCTTATCTGGCACTATACAAACCTACAATGAAATTTTAATTTGAAAAGAATAATAAAATATAAAGGAAAACAAATGTTGAATTTTTCCCCCTTTTTCGTTGGATTGACAGCAAGTAATTTTATTTGTATTATTCTTTCCAATCAAAATTTCTAATACAATCTCAAAACGAACTGCGATATTTCCGCTGTCACTCGATATAACATTGTAAATAATCTCATTTGTTTATTATCATTATAATCCAATTACCTACTAATATTTTCAATAAAAGTAACTATTTTTAAAATACACATAAGAATTAAACAATAGCCGTCAGACTTCCTGTAAGTCTTACTGATTGAGTGGTAAGTGTAACTTAAATCCTGCATAAGTAAGTCTTGTGACTTTGACGAGTGACAGCTCACGACTTACATACTTTCATTTATACCGCTGTGTCCGGCTTTTTCTCGGGGTGTTTTGTGTTTCCGTTGCTGATGTACTCTCCATGGTCATGGGAGGGATTCTCCGAGCCCTTGACGTCATCGTGTGGGGGCAGAGGGGCTTCGGAGTCCGCCCCATCAGGTATGTCGGTGCGGTGCGACCGTCCTGCCACATACCAACACATTAAGCGATCAAGTTCTGTGCCTGCTTTTTTAAGTCTTTGTAAGTGCGTGGTAAGCTTGTTATTGAACTGGCAATTAGTGATTTTTTACATTGACTAACGTGTATTAAAATGTGCTGTGATTGTTGCGAAGCCTATTTTACACACATTTGTTGAGAAATAGTGCTCATTTTGTTTTTCTAGAAATACTAACTTCAATAGCAAATTAAAACAACTATTTTCTATTAATTACAAATGACTAACATACTTTTAGCTCTCAGAATATTTTAATATCTACGATAACGAAAATGATATTATTGGGTATTGCTCGTGATTTCGTATTTTATATTATCCTTGATTTTATAGTATCCCATCGGAACACAGGGGTAACTGGGACGCTATACATGTAAGACATGATGTATTTGTGTACTCAAGTTTATTCAAACCCGTTATCCATAGTTTACGCATGATCACGCTGAAACCGCATCTGAGCGGTTTGCTACTGATAAATCTCTTTTATTTTTTGCGTGAAAATTTCAAAAACACTTTTTAGTTGGTAAAAACTTCACATAAGTAATTTATGTGTAAATTTTTCATATGTCTAAAAACTGAACGTTAGGTAGTTTCTTCTAATATGTTAAATAGAGGATTTCTGTACAGAGGTAAAAAAAAACTCACGGGATAAAATTCCCGCGGGACAAAATTCTCACGGGAATAAGATACTTAAGTTCTTAAGAACGATATGTTAAACAGTGCGCTATAAAATCGCATCGTTTGGTTCGCTTAGAAACTAATTTTATGTAATAAGGAATCGGATAATGAATAACCGACTGCAATATCGAGATCTGAGCCCATTTAGAAAGAATATTAATCTAATCTAGCCAAGAATCAAATCTGGGATATTATTTATCCAAAGAAACATGTATTCGGTCACGATGGTCGTGAATAATCTCAGAGCCAAAATTATGTACATTTTTATTACTACCTAACTTATAACACTACCATATATTTGAAGTTCTGTCGAAAGTACATACATTTATAATATTTAATGAAAAAAAGTGATATATTTTTGATTTAGTAGTAAATATATGTTTTTAGTATGACATATAATTTGAACTACTCACTGTATTTTAGATTTCAATTCTGTGTATATACTCGTATCGTATTACACTTGTATTTGATACTTGTTCATGTTATTGTTTTATTTTTTATTATTATTAAATTAATTTTTAATTATTAAAAATGTTATAATACCACCCTATTAATAATAATTCTTTTTTGAAACATTAATAATTTACCATTAATACTGAAGTGAAAAATAATTCGAAAATTTAAAAATAATTAGTTAATACAATATAATAGTACAGATGTCACCAACACCAAGAGTAAGTTTATTGTTTATTATATACCTATTTAGCCCTGTAGGTGTATATTAAGTTTATATTATTAATATTAATTTTCAATTATTTAATTAACAGTTAAATATAGGTTTCAATATTTTTTAAATACGCCTTGTTACTATATACCTATTTATTGTAACACCAACACCATTTACAGAAAATTATAAACTATTATAAGTATTAATATACAGGAATTTATTAAAGATCCTTAAACAGTCTTTAAAAATCTTAAACATTTATTTCCAAAAAAAAAAAAAACTTAATAAATACCGAAATAAATCATGCAAAAGGATAGAAATCTCGTGTTTCATGCTGTTAGATATTTAATAAAGAAAATGCGATTGAGATAGACAGAAACAGGGAAAAATAAGGCATGCGCCGAATCGGGCATTTCAGTTATTCATGCATTCTGTTCAGTTTTAAACAATCTTGATCGCTTAATATATTGCTATACGGCACAACTGACATTACATAATTTTATTATATAAAAAAAATCACTACACAATAATTACAAGCAAAAAGGACATAACAAACACTGCCATATTCACTTTGAAGTATATCTAAAACTACTACAGCCAAACATTTTTTGCTAAAAACCGAGACTTTCGCATTAAAAATAATGCAAGCCTCGAGTGATTTTAAAAAATGAAATTTTTCTCTTTACCTATCGACCAAAGGCCTGTGAGCCTGTGAGAAATTATGTTTATTAATATAATATTATTGTCAAATGGGAAGGGTAGGTATGATGCATGCCTAAAATATTTCATATAATCAAAGCATGTATATAAAGCAATGAAATGCAAAACAGTAAATTATGGACAGTTTTCTTTCGTAACTATTACACGAAACTTGTACTGGTAGAGTTTCGAACGACCAATCTTGTGTTGGTTGGTACCATCTTACATCTGATCTTCGCGGTCTTGAGCTCTGACGTGTTTGATACATGTAAGATATTGTTATGGCAATACTGTTCATACCTTTTTTGGCAGAAAGCAATAAAGCGGGCATTGTTGTGTTTCAGTAAGACTGCTAGTAAAATTAATGGGCACGAGGTATAACCCCTCACTTCTGAAAGGAGGAGATTTTAATAATGGGTAGTAGCATGTACTTCCTAATAATGTGCCCTATAAGATCGAGCTCCACTCGGTCCTCCTTAGAAACCAACGTAGTTAATTTGTGGTGACTTCATCACGTGGAGCGTACCAAGTGCCCAAATTTTATCCTCACCTATCCTCTCTCACTCATACTTCGCCGGTATAAATTAATAGAGCAGGCGGGATATAATTCTATTTTTTGTCCACCAAAAGGAAGAATTTTATTCCTTAGGTGCGTCTAAGCATGAGGGAGAAAATTATTGCTATGTATATTCAGTAATATTTCATTCATAGCTTTCCGGGCGAATCGTAAAAAATTCTATTACTATTAGGTAAAATCGAATAAACAACACGTATAAAAAATTACGACGATGTATTTTTTTATAGTGTACTAGCGATCCCGCCCGCGAGAAAAATAAATTAGTAATTTATATTAGCTTTAATAAGCAAATTTTTGTTACTTTACGCTACATTAGTCTATTTTTTGTAGGGATCTCTAATTGTTTTGAAAATTATATGTACCTTATGTTACTCGTTGATAATGTAGCTTGCTATAAGTGAAAGAATGATTAAAATCGGTTATGTAGTTTATCCGTTATAAACAAACAAACAAAAAAATCTTTCCTCTTTATTAGTATATTATATATAGAAGTAGTTCGCTTAATAATTTACAGAGATCAGTGTTTACAGTGACGTATTTTTTTATTGCATGATGATCAATATTCGATTATTGATAACAGTCCATAATTTACTAATAAGATTCATAACGATATGGCAACGTAAATAAGTTATTATTTTGTAATGTATTAGCCGGACAATTTACCAATTGCTTCAAATCACAATATACCTAATATGTTATAAAAACCTAAAAATGAATGTAATAGAAAGTGTAACAAATTGAAATCCAGCAAGATATATTTTATGAAACCGAACAACTGTATCCAGATAAATTTAAGGGGTGTAATCTTTTAATCTGAATGTATGGATCCGAAGAAAATAAATAAAATATAAATACATTTTTATTCATTATTGTACATAAACAAAGTGATATAAATAATTAATTTTAAACGTAATGTACAAAGGCGAATATCTTTGTATAACTATCGGTTCAATCATATCTCTATTAAGTAGGACTTACGTTAGAGAAGGATTTTGTCCGTATGCATCAGTATATAAAGTACCCTATGTATTAATTATGATATATAATAGCCGTGTACCAAATTTCATTCAATTCCATTCGTTTAAGCATGATTGAGTAACAAACACCCAATCATCTAAATATCCAAACATATTAAAAAACTTATTAGTTGAATTAATATGACTGATCGCAAAATCCGAATGAAGCGATCGAATTCAGTGAAGTTCGTATCCGGTCTTTCGGGCGAAACTTTGAAACATTGATTTCGTAGTAGACCCATGTTTTGCATATTAACCCTATGTACCAGAGGGAGACTTTGTACAAAAGTCGATTGCTTTACCTCTGTCCCATTCGTGTTTCAACCGTGAAGCAGTTGTGTTTGCATGGCTGTGTTTCGGTTTGAAGGGTGGGATATGTGAATTTACTGGGTACAGAGGAATAACACCTGAGTCCTCAGGAATGGCAAATGGGGGGTATCATGGGCGAAACAGTATATTCTGTTATGTCCATGGTACTGCTCATTAGGCAACAGTTACCAATCAGGTGGGCTGTCAGCTTGTTTGCCATTCTAAGTTGTATAAAAAAAAAAAAAAATATGTCTACGTAATTTAAAGGTAAATGTATGAAAGATTCCAAATATTTCAAATATGTTCATTACAGAAAGTTGTTCAGTTTTATGTACGTTATCTCTCGATTTTTTTGTCATACACTTTCTATTATATGTTTTTATTATATTAATGTTAAAAAATAAACTTCCTTTCCTGCCACATCGTCTGAACGTAATTGTAGATTTATTTGAGAGAGGAAAAAAAGGATAATTTCATTCACAACACGATGAACGGGAAATGATAATGAACTAATTATCATATTTTGATAATACCGTCGTATTTTCATAACGATCGAGGCTGACTTTTTGTAATATCATAAAGTAGAAATTACGAGAGATATTTATAATATTTTCTCATAACTCTATTAAAATTTTCTTGTAATTTAATTTGTTTGTACGATTCGTTTATCTTTTGTTTTTTATAAAACTGTTACAAATTCGATTTCATTAAAAGGTGAAAAGGTAAAACGTGAAATGTAATATTTATTTTCACGTTACTGGCAATACTAAATGGAGCTATTAATTTATCCGATAGGTACACTTCATATCGAGCTTTCTGTTAATTGGTAGAAAACTCAAAATCATTTATACGAAAAGTCTACCTCAATACCCTAATGAATGGCGTCAAGTACATTAAAAAAGAAAAACACTAACCTGCGAAACACCATCTGCCGGTAGCTTTGGCGAATACGATCAGTGAGACAGCGATGAGGAGCACAAGGACTGCTATCACGATGCCCACTATTGCACCTGTGTCTAGTTCCACACCTATACATAGACCAAACATATTTTTTTAATAAATAGGTATATTGGTTAGGGATGACTATAGAAACATATAGGTTATATATATATATGTATGTAACGGAAAATGGCGAGATGCGTGAGGCGTGACGCTGTAACGCAGAAAGGCAAACGCCCCCTGAAGAAGACTTCGTGATGAAGTCGAAATAATTGTCGGAAACGACAAAAACACAATGAGCTAATTAATTTCCCGTAACACATATGTATATGGACATTGGATAAAAATGAACATAAATTTTAAAAATAACATATTAGTTATTTTTTATTAATAGGTAACGATGAAATAAATAAGTATGCTAGGCACGACCGTAAATCTAATAAAACTAGCATAGATTGAAGATAGTATCTACTAATATACGATCACAAGATATTAGATAGTTTATCTACATATCTGTTACACGATGTTTAGATACATACATAAATTTAAATATTTAAAATCGGCAGGGTAATTCTTGAGGTTATCCATTATAAATAAACAATGAAATCTTTCCTCTTTATATATAGACATATAATCTCACACAATATATAGTAGTCACTCCTCGTTATATTATAGATTTAATATATTAATATTAAATCTATAATATACAGTATATATGTAGTAGTAGTATATATGTATATAATCTATAATATAACAATAATTTAACAAAAATGTTACATAATTCATTTAGCATACTCCTAAGGTTATATATTATTATAGTTCAACTGAAAAATATTCCGTTTTGGATCAAGTCAGTAAAAAAAAACATAAGTGAAATTTTTTTGTGGGAGTATGCTGAATGAGATCACAATCATACTAATAACTTGACCTTCAAATTAAGATACTCTGTATTATAAGGAAGAAGCCAGCTAATATCTGGGAGCACAACACAAAATACAATGAAGCCAACTTAGAAACGTTCCTTTTATGTTTGCAAATTGACGCGACCGAAAATCGAACCCGGGCACCTTATTTACGCGGGGGGCGATGATAGATGAGGGTGAAAGCAAGTCAGCATTGTGACGAATTCAACAAAAATTTTCCACGATGGTTTCCAGAGGAACCACGTGGAGGTCGACCTAATGGGGCATATTGCTAGTAATGATGCTATTTGGCCCCATTACTAACAATCTCTTTCCCCCAGCATATACCCTGTTAGGTCAGCCTATACATTTATCCCCCTAGAAAGCATCGTGACTAATTCTTGTCAAATTCGTCATATTGGACTAACTAATCTGATTTCATCCTCACCCATTTTTTTTTGATGAGTGAAAATAGTATGGTAGCCCCGCCTGCGCTAACGGGATACGCTGGCGAAGCACCAGTAAAGGGTGATAGATGAGAATAAAAACAGGCCAGTTAGCCCATCATGATGAATTCATCAGGAATTAACCATGATAGTTTCCAGGGAGAACCGCGAGGAGCTAATAGCTAGCTAGCAATTGCAATGGGATTCTCAGTCTTCATTACTAACAATCCCTTCCCCCCCATCCTCACCTATTTCCACTATTTAGTACCCCGCCAAAATATACCAATAGCGCACGCAGAGCTATCATTCCATTATCCTTCGCCTTATTTACGTAACACAGTAGTCGTCAATATTAATACATATTATTATTCTATTAAAATACCATTGACAATATTTGTAAATAGTAGAATTCACTTTCATTTGGCTAAAACTACTTCGCCAAGACTATTAGGCAATTTTATATAACTTACCGATGCAATTTTACTATCACGATATAATAGGGAAGCTATATAAATGTAAATGTATTTAGAATAAATAATTTTCCATTAACGATACCTATTACGAAATATAATTTTATTATTTTTATCGCTGGTCAAGTTGCACGGAGCCATCAAGTACCAAACAGGGCTTGTGCTATGGGTACTAAACAACAGACAAACATATTTAAATACTGTTTTTTTTATAAATACACCCAGACCAATACAAGCAGAGATCATGTTTGTATTGTGCGAGAATCGAGCTTGCAACCATCAGAAGGTAAAGAGGTGTGTTAAGCCGGCATTGACGACCACCAAGGTCATTAAAAGCTAAAAAATGTAAAAGCGTCTTTATACAATAGCATACAGTTTTTCTATTATATCGTGACAATAAAATCGTGTCATGATACCGTGCCATAACCACATCAACAAGGTACAAAATGTACATTGAAATAAGTTCAATAACAATAAATATGTTTTATTTCTATTGTACAAATCAATAAAGAAATGATCCAAAATATATTTCAGTTTACTCGAACAACTAATAAAAAAAAATTATCTTTTTTCAATTAGCCGATATTATAGTATTTAATATAGCAAAATCAAGAAACACAAAAGTACATATCATGACACAATTAATTTTAACATGCCTACGAATAAAAACCGTACATATAATAGTTTAGTTGGGGCACAGATTAAAAATTATATTGATCCGATAAAAAAAAAAAAATAAACGATACATGCGATTATAAAAAAGTTACAACTCCAAAATAAAATACGAAAAATTTTTCATGCTGGCAAACTGGGATCTACGGTACGATTACGATTATCTACGGAATAGACTACTTATAATATATATAATATAACAGAATACTTTATAAAAAAAAATATTTATATAAAATTAATAAAAACCAGTAGAAATGCATTCTAAAAAATTGAATCAGCTGAGTATTTAAAATACAAAGATCATCCATTTTTTTTTTATTACGAAAAAGAGCATTCGATCAAATATTACAATATCCGAGCTTCTACATTATCATTCCCTCTTACCATAGACATCGATTATCAGAAATGAAGACTTGGCTTTGCGCGCTGTTGGAAATACGAATTTATTAAATATTAATAAGGTTCAAATTTAATTAACAATAAATCATAGAATAATACCAGAGCGAACATGGAATGTTCGTCGCTCAGTAAGTTTGTACGTAAGCGGAACTTTGTTTATATTACGCAGTTAAGAGGATTTTATACCATAATAAACAACGACAATGTCTCTATTACCTGTCATATTAAAATTGAAATATAAACCATTTTCGAATTTAAGCTACCTCAAAAAGGAGAAAGTTCTTAATTTGCCTGTATTTTTTTTAGTATAGTTTACTCTATATTTGTCAATTCTGAGCCAGTTTTTATAATCATTTTTAGCACTCTTTAGGGTTTATTTCCATGTATTCAAAATAGTGACATCAGTTATGACAATAAGATATCACGGTTTTTTTTTGGAGTAAAATCTAAAATTATAAGAATTCGCGTTAACCATAAAAAATTCTTAGAAGTTATAAAAAATTCTTAGAAAACATTCTAAAATTTTATATAACAAAGTATTTATTAACATCAAAAACAAAATATGAAATACCAAGATTTATACCCAACTTATTCCATGACTACCGCTTTACTTAAGTCACAATTAAAATAAAAAAAAAAAATTGTTAAACTGTTTACGAAATTTATCAGGTAAGTAATGCAAACGTTGTTATTCTTAAGGCAAGTCCAGAGCGAGTAAATTAAACAAAACAAATTAAATAAATAAATTTCAAGTTAGTGGACGTGCCTCCAGTGCTCCCGCTTAACGAGCGAATTTAACGATTGAGCGAGCCGAATTCAAAGAACTTCAAAATTCGAAATTATTTTTCCCTTTACCCTCGAAGACGTATGTACATGTTATCTATTAATTGCAACAAACTATAGCTATTTGTATAATTTACTGTTTCTTGTGACTTCTTGTTGGCCATTCATTATATGATCATTTAAATTGCTTGTCCTTTAAGACCTTTAACCTTTTGTCCTTTAAGACGAAATTTTAAAAATCTTTTCTTAGCAGATGTTTACATTTAATATATAAAACAAACCTATATTCCAAATTTCAGCTTTTTAAACTTAGTAGTTTTGACGGTGCGTTGATAAGTCAGTCAGAATAAATGATTTTATAAGTATATTTTTTTATAAATACGTTTGTGGATGCCGTTTCTAAGCTCGTCGTGTACATAATAATAATAAAAAAAGATATATTTATAATATATACAGTACAACGTACAAACTTATTTTTTTTTATGCAATCTTTTTAAAATAACATTGTATTAATCAATATAAATTTAAATGTAATTATTTTAATTTTATAATTATGAGGCCTTGCTCCCATAATACAAATTGCTTTTATGATTTCAAACAGAAACTTTCTCGCTGTGGACTCACCTTTACAGTATGAACTTTACGGTGAACGCTTATAAAGTTCTACGCGGAGTATTTGCAAGTTCCCTTTGTCTGAGATTCAATTCACTGAGTGGTACCTATTAAATCTTTCGCTATCTCACGTACATAATTTATAGCTGTTAAGAGAATTCCAATTAAAGAAATATTTTAAATATTTCTAAATAATCATTTACAGAATGTCTTTATAACGTTAATATGAATTTGGTATAGTTGTTATGGTAATCTTAAAAAAAAATAAGTTTTAATTTGCAAGTGTAAGTAAATATTTTTAAATTAGTAACCATGAAAATTGGTATTATTCTTTTCGGCTCAATCTATTTTAAAAATTGGCGATAGAAATGACATATGATAAGAATTTATAATAAACTTCCACGAATAAGGATATTTGTGTATTGTTTTCGTAAATTTATGTCCACTTTGTTCTATGATTTAAGGATTCTTTTAATTCAAAAGATATCTAACTTTATAATACAAAAAATAATAAACATAGTCACTTATTTTGTTTGAAATTTATTATTGTTTTGAAATTGTCTGGTTCACTATATAATTATATATAATGTTTTACGTTTTAAAAGAGGCACTGAAATTATTGTTTCTACCGGCCAATAATAATGTTAGGTTACACTAATAATGTTGCTATATTCTTGTTATTTCCTTATTCTGACTTTCACCCTAATGGTCAATTTTTTGTTAAAAAATAAAGATTTTGATTGAACAGATTGATAGGAATCTCACCAGCTGGCTCGTCCATAGTGCTGATGAGTACAACAAACTCCTCATTGCCCAGTTCGTTGGTGACTCTCAAGTAGTACTTCCGGTCCACGTCTTCCTTTTTAATTCTGTATAGAATCAGCGTGATGTTGTAGTAGCCATTACCCTGGAAATTTATATTAATATAGTACATAGTTTTGTTGTCGGATTATTTTTAACTTTTTCCGAAAAGAGGATTTTGTTTAGCCTGTTTCTTTTTACGCTACGCGATATCTTTGGATTCTTTTTTATCTGGTTTACGTCCTTATTGTAGGGTTTAGTAGCTATTATAAAGTGAATATTTTTATTAAATTATTAATTTAATTTAAGAAGATTTTTAAGAACATCCAATTTAAAGAATTCCTTTTTTTTCTTTTTTTTATACCACAAAGGTGGCAAATAAGCATACAGCCTGTCTGATGGTAAACGGTCACTGTATTCTATGGACGCTTGCAACACTAGGAGTGTCTCGCGCGGGTGGCCGGCCCTAAAGAAACCTTAATATACCCTTTTTGAAAAATCCCATACTGTAGTCTCTAGGGAAAACCTCAGCATGGAGCTCATTCCACAATCTGACCGTTCGCGGGAAAAAAATCCTTTGAAACCGCACTGTACGTGACCATTTAGGTTTAAGCGTGTAGGACATACCATACCCATCTAGGTTCAATCTCTGTCGATGGCAAGCGGTGCAATGATATTTTACTAGTTGACGCAACAACGTTGTTTTGACAACATCCATCGGGTTATTTTTTCTTATCTGAGTAAAAGTTATCCTATCTCGCAAACTGGAGCATATTAATTTACAATTACACTAAAATCGGTTGAGCTGTTTTGGAGATTAGCGTTTTAGAGCGTATACGAACATCAAGAAATGGGATTTTTATATATTAAGATTTTAAAGAAGCTTATATAAATTTTGCGGTATAGGTATACGTCAAATCACTGTACTCACCAAATGTAGCGGCTCTAACGCATTAACATTGGAAAGTTCGCTATTCTCCGATGCTACGATTTTCTGGTCGCCAAACGTCCACTCGACATCGGGGGCTGGGTTCGCCCGAATGGTCACGTTCAGACGCCCTTCGGCACCCAATTTCAGTCCGAAGATGGTGATTGTGCCCTGTTCTAGACGCTGTGGTGGGTCTGCAAAATAGGAAAGAGAATTTTTATTGATAAAATACATTACATTCCTTATCAAATACACCTGATTAATAGTCGGCTAAATATGACTATGACTGTATAAATAGCAAATATATCTGAATAATTATGAAAAAGTGTTACATATTTTTTTAATTACAGTAAATTACGATTCACGTCACAGGATTCACCTGCATATAACTTTTAAACATACATGCTCGGTTGATTTGCTTTACTTTTTAGGAAAATTAAACTTTTCGAACGATAAGGGGAGTTATCAAAGTAATATCAATTTAAACAATTTAAAATTCTGTTTCACATAATATTATGAAACAAATGGATCTCACAAATTAAGAAAAGATATTTATTTATTCGTAGAAAACTAATACTAAAGTCACGTTCACGTTCAGTTGTTGACAGTTAATGGCCGTCATATTTGTGTTTGTATTCTCGTAATGTAGCCTGTAAGTAATCTAACAACTAAGACGATTCTAATGATATCCTGTTTATATAAATCTATTGAGCAATTACACATAATTAACATGTTGCGCCAAGCACATATACCTATATACAGAATTACTTCCCCCTGTTCTCTTAACTGTAAATAAAACTTACATTGCACAAGAATCTGCCTCTTCGCTTCTCTAGGTTGATCTAATGCTTCATGCTCGGCTCTGCAGATCAACGTCTTCGCGTTATCATCAGCGACCAGAATGCGGCTGATGTTCTGGCTGATAGTTTGAAGGTCGTTGGTCTCGCCTGTGATTATTGGCTGATGGATGCCTTCGAAGACTGGGTTCTCATCTGTGGGAGATTTCAAAGAACTTTAATCATCGCTTCCTGCTACGTTGAATTGGAGTATGCTTCGCAAAATGCGAACATGTGGAGCGTTAGGTTTACCACAGCGGCAACAGTCGACAAATGGCGCTGTCTACACTATTAGAGATAGTAGTCGCGAACATAATTGGTTTCATTTATTTGATAAAGTATAAATTACAATACTTGGTTTTTAATATTCCATACTTAAACAGAATCCTCATTGAGGGAATTAGATTACTTATTTAATTATATTTGACAATCGTTGTTCTAGACTTTAATACAAATGAAAATTGTGAAGGGGTGATAAGTTTCCAAATTTAATTAAGTAATAGTCAATTTATATAATTTTACAAGTACAATAGTTATTTTTTGTGTTTATAAGTTTGAAATTCGGCAATACAGTCTGACTTTTTTACCACCGAAAGATCCAAAGAAGCCTGCCAAGCATGGCAACTATTGGCAAAACTCCCCTTACGGGGAAAGCTTATGTCCAGCAGCGAAAAGTTAACGACTGAAATAATAATAATAATAATAAAGAATTTGAGATTCCTACTATTTATACAAAACATATGACAATTTCAATTTGTAACAATTTTTCTGATAACTGTAAATATCGTCCACAAACAATTTGAAGATGGGCAAGATTACCACGATAACAACAGTTGACATATTCTCTTCAAGTATTCTCTTCGAGAATATAGTAGTGGCTATATATAATTTTAAATAAACTTACCCAAAAACCAGGTAATTTTAGCGGCTGGTCTTCCATCTGGCACTATGCATTGTGCCATGAATTTATCGCCTTCATTGAAGGCCGGTTGCTGTGTGGATTCCAATCTAATCGCGCCGGGAGGTCCTAAAAATATATAATAACTGATTTTATATATTGTTTTTGTTCGTACTATTGTAATATTAATTTATTCAGCAAAGTAACCATTGTCTCCTATACATGTTAGCATAGGAGACGAAGGTGTTATCCGAAATGGTCCCCGCTCAACCTTATTAAAATTACAGCGTTGTTTTTCAATGAAGGCCTATTGCTATTGTTAATGTCAAACAGACTAATGGCCTATCTGTTAGAAAGTGGTATGCGCACTAGGAGCTGCTCCCGAGACTGAAACTGAAAAAGGCGCCTTGTGTTAGGGATCTTTTGTTTTTCTTTGCCTTACGCAACCTTTACTATTTTGTCAATCTTATCTTTTAGCTTTACCGCATTTTACAGTTTGAGATATTTGTAAATTTTTCTGGCTTTAAAAAAGCAATAACCAAGAGACTCATATGTATATTTGCCAGTGAATTTGCACATTAGTGTCATTGTTTAGTCTTTTTTCACCTAGAAGCCTTATTTGCCATTACCATAAAAATACTGGCCAAGAGGTGTGGGCGGATTTTGTAACTGTTTTAAGGTCTAAATAATTGTAATACCTATGAGTAATGTAAAATACCGAAATAACTTTAAATAAAAAAAGACTTATTCAGTTTATAACCTTATTTAGATATATAACAGAAACTCGAGAAGAGCTCGACTACTAATAGAAAATCACTGAAGTATTTTACACAGTAACAGTATATTGCCGACTCTGAAGTGAAAGAATGAGGAGAATCAAGAATAAGTGAGAGAAAAAGAAGGGGCATACTGACTTGCTACTACTAGCCTCATGCTGCGTGATATCTCGACGTTGCCGGTCCGGGGAGGAAGCGTGCAGGTGATATTGCCATTCCATTCCTCCTTTATGCGCCTTATGTGAGCTCCACATTCTCCTTTCTGCAACAAACATTATTTACATTATAAATGCGTTTCTTTAACTTGGCATAATTTTCACATAGACGGGGTACCTTCTTCTTCATTTAAACAAACAGATATAGTAGATTTTCATCCACTAAGATAGCACTCAATATTGCCAAACAAAATACTATAATACATTTTAAACAAAAAAAAATCCGTTTCCAACAAACAATGACAATTTTTTTTATACCACGAAAGTGGCAAACAAGCGTACATGTATTATGTAATTAATTACAGAGTACGAAGGCAAAATATGTTAATCGTCAGCAATGGTAAAGCACCATATTGTCACACTGTATTGCGGTGTCTATAGTACACAGGCGATGGTTTTTCATTTTTCATCAAGTGAGCCGTCCGCTTGCCATTTCAAGTCGTATGAACAAGAAGGGTATTTGTTTTGTGTGATTTTAATGAAACTGCATAGTAAGATATATCCGCGATATTCAGGATAATGTTTTGTACTTGGAATAAAAAGGCTTTTGATTCTTGCAAAAATATTGCGGTTGCAGTAGCAGTCACATACAATCTACTAGTAATAACGTTACAATAATAAAATACAATATTATCGTAGTTAGATTTATTATTTATTTCTTTTATTACCTCCAGTCCTCCGCCATGGTAGACTATGTCATCCGCTTGATTCTGTTCTGACGGCGACAGGATATACGACTGATATCCCACTTTTATTCTGAAATATGTTATTCCTTGATTAGAACGTGATTATTAAGAGTACACTAGTTGTCTTATATTTTTTTATTTATTATTTTTATTAAAATAAATTTTATTAATTTTTTTTATAGCATTAAATTAAATAATAAAATTATAATCAAAAATAAAAATAGAGGGATACATTTGGAACCAATAATGCGAATGCTTCATTAACTTCCAGTATTTATTTCTTATGTATACTTGTATAATATATACCGGAATCAGGCTCTATTTTTTTGGTAACCTCACCTGCGATATGAGTGATAATAATAATAATAGAAATGAAAGATAATAAGTGAGAAAAAAAATCAGTTGACCCATTGTGATAGATTTAATAAAAATTAACCACGATGGTTTTCAGGGGATCCCCGCAAGGAGGTCCACCTGATATAATTAATCTTGATTCAATATACAATTTATTTATTTATTTGGTCAACTGGGTGAGTTTTACAATCTCCCAATATGCTTATTAGTTATATCCCCTCCCGTACCAAATTTAGTACATTCATTTTATCTAATGGCCATAGATTTCCCTCAGTACATGCATGCTTCCGTATTGTGAATGTATCTTTATATTTGATATTATTTTCAAGCATATTTTAAAATTATTATGATTTGATCTACCCTTGTTGATTATGTATCTATAAACGAAATTTTGAAAACGGTAGTGCGTAGAATAAATATAAATATCGTACTCACCGACACGAGTTTATTTGGTACGCCACTTTGCACTCCACGAACAGTTCGCCGCCGACGCGCCTCACGGCCTCTGTCGGCGTTATTGTGAAACTCGGGTCGCCTAAGGACAAAATAAAACAAATAAGTGGATAAATACTACATAGTGTAATTTTTGCAACAAGAGGCTTAAGATCTTTAGTTCTCAGGAGTAGCTGCGCGTGAATGGTGTACAAATACAGTCTGTAATTTTCATAGTGTCATTCATGTTACTAATAAACGAATTACTAATGATACACCAGTAAACAATAAATTTTTTTTAGTATATTCTAGCAAAATTCTATTATTAGAAAATTTTAGGCCGTATAACAAATATAGCTTATGATTTCATGATATCATTTATGTTAATGAGCGAGCAAATGTCTATTATTAGAAAACTTTAGATGTAATATCACAAATACAGTCTATGACTTCTTTCTTCGTGTCAATTATATTACTAATGAACCAAGGTTCTATAATGGTAAACAGTACTCTCATGCCGGTCCTATTTTAATTATACGACGATAAAACTGTTGTTTTCTTTGTGAAACAAAAAACTACTAGTTAGAAAACAAAATCTGTGTGTATCTTACTGTGTAAATACACAATATTTACACAGTAAAATATCTACGAAATATGTAATAGAAAATCAACGGAACATCTTGTCGTTTTTCGGTACGTTCACATTTGTAGTCGCACCTTTTTTGCAGAACAATAATATACTTGTTGATTATTCTTTTTGTAATTGATGTGTTTATCTCGTGTTGATCCCATATGAATTACATCACGATCGAAGCAGTTTTTTTTATAGAATTACCAGCTTTTACTCGCGCCTGACCAGGTTATGTTCACTGACTGAGATCTCATTATATCCCAGTAGTCTATGTCCTTTTTCATTAGTACATGTACATATGTGTACATGGCAAACTTAATGTTAAAAGCATTCTCGCCTAGTTAACCTTAGGGAAGTGTTAGAATGCGATACTAGTAATAATTAATATACATACATACAAAAATTTACATACATAAAGAAATAAATGTATATAAATAAAAAAATTTACTTCCACACATATGTAAGATATACTATACGTATTGAAAATTGTTCAACAAATCCTGTTAAGTTGGTGCAATAAAGTGTTAAATAAACAAAAATAAATATATTATACACGAAAATGAGAATAATATATAGTATTTACTGGTCAAATAAAGTATAAAAGTATAAACGTTTTTTTAAATTTCATAGTGATTAGTAGATAATCCCAGAAGTAGTCGAGATAGAGAGTGCTTTTCTCAACAGTAGAATATAGAACAAAGTTACTTATCCATTAAACATTTAATATAGAAAAGTTGGAGGTTGAAATAAAGTTTTCCGCAAAACTTTAATATCAGTGTTCCGCCTGGAGCAACGCAGCGGACATTGTTGCCACACGAGCAAAGAATGCAATAAATAACATACAGAAACGTTTTCTGTTTAACAACTCGTTTAAATTTTTTGGATTATATGTCGTACTTTACTGTAAATTTATTATTTTTTCGTGTAATTTATTGTAAAACTTTTTAATTATCTATTTTCTAAACTTTGTAAAAAAAATGTTATTTATTAATACATACTATACACTTATACTTTTTCATAAAATGATGTCATAATATAAATACGTGACTGGTTTTGCCGTTTAAGGTATTTATTTACAAAGGTAAAGAGTACACGTGTTATTCTAATAATATCAATACGCGTACAAAATTCTACCAAGTGCCGACAGGCACGATTACTAATATGTTATCAGTTAACTAGCTGACCCGGCAAATGTTGTTTTGCCATATGAATATTTTTTTTTTTTGGATAGGGACTAGTGTTTCTATCACCTAGCAGAATAAATATACTTCACTATCTATTCTCATAGCTACCAAACATAAATAAAAAAATCATAAAAACCGGTCGAGTAGTTTCGGAGGAGTTCGAACGCAAGCACCATGACACGAGATTTTTATATATACATTTACGTTCATCTTGTTGGATCTACATAATATGATAGATTTTATAAAATTTTATATTAATTTTTATTGACAATTTTTTGGATTTTATAGGTTGTTAAAGTGTACGACGTACCATCAAACGTATGATATTTTGTTACTTTCTGAACAAACTGAACTCGACTGTTAAAGATAGGTTTTGTCAGATGTATATGTATATGACCGAATTTTTAATACAACTCCATATAAATAGAAATATATATACAAAAAAGACATTACAAAAATTGTGTTTTGTATTTAACACCAGCAGGAAGGCAGTAATTTTTATGTACTAAAAATACATAACCCCATTTTTTTCGGGACATTGAAGTAAAACAACAAATTACCCAATGTCGTGTTGTTAATGAAGGAACCGGCTTCACTCATATATCCTAATAGAGTAGACAATTTGATCACGGAGAAAAATGTGGACAGAAAATTCTGTGGAGATTGTTATTTATATTTATATTCATAAAATATTTAGTATTTGTATTTCTATAATTTATTCGTTTTACGATAGGTGAGAAGGATATTGTCTTAATAAGCTATTGGCTTGCATTCTATGGATTTGCCCGCATGCATTAACCTGTATAAATACAACATGTTATTTAAATCGATTTGGTTATTTTTTAAACACTGAGTGCTTATATAGAAAATTAACTTATACGGTTTAATATACAGAAAACTCAGTATTTGATCAATTTTTTTAACTGATTTCAAAAGAAAGGATGTTCTCAATTTTGTTGTTTTTTTTTTATATTTGTTATCTCATTACTTCGTCAGTTATGTTGGGTTATTTGAAAGGATATATATACAGATTGATCCTATAGAAATTTTATCAAAATCGGTTAAGTAGTTTAGTTTTGAAATTAAAATAACTGGTTTTGCTACAATTGAAGTCGGTTTTTTTGTGGGTGTCAATCTTAAACTATAGGAGTTGTGTTACCTACCTTTCACTGGTAGAACACTACCTTAAAAGGATGCTAATGATTTCTATTTCATTCAATAGATATATAACTGGTTTCTTAAGTGTAAAAGAAAATAAATTATTTATTCGATTATGATTTACTTCTCCAATGGTAAACTGTTATAGGAACAGTCCCGTTCCTTATGGCACTCAATGGGGGAGGCCTATGTTTAGCAGTGGATAGATAACGGCTGATGATGACGATGATGGTAATATTATATTTTGTATTTGAAAAATAATTATAATGATGAATGATGATGAAATGAATAATGAAATCACATGGAAATATAACATTGATTGGAATGATATCATTAAATCTTAAACGCGTGGGAGAGAATAGGTATCATATAATTTAAGAATAAATGCCACTCTACACGTGCCTACGTCCGTAATACCAACAGTTGATTACTATGAAGTCATACTGACGTGGTGTCGCAATTGCTACAAATTGACAACAGAAGCTGTAGGATTGAACTAGTATTAAGTTTATTGGTATATGCAGTAGATATATGTAGTCAAAGTAACTAAATAATAGATAGATAATTTGCTCGTTATGTAGTTATTAATTTTCTAACCAATTTTAGTGATATCGTACCAAACTAATCAGTACAGTAGTAGAGACGTTGGAAGGCATGCCTACTATCATTTTTGATTGAAATGTCTAGCAATAAGTTAATAAGTTATGTTTTTTTTTTATACAACTTAGAATGGCAAACAAGCTGACTGCTCACCTGATGGAAAGTGGTAACCGTCGCCTATAGACATGAGCAGTACCATGGACATAATAGAGTATACTGTTTCGCCCATGATACCCCCCATGCGTTGCCATTCCTGAGGACTCAGATGTTATTCCTCTGTACCCTGTAAATTCACGCCATATCCCACCCTTCAAACCGAAACACAGCCATGTAAATACAACTGCTTCACGGTTGCAACACGAATGGGACAGAGGTACCCAAGCAATCGACTTTTGTACAAAGTCTCCCTCTGGTATGTAGTTCAGAGAAGAGTTTGTAGATTTTATTTATAACTAATTATCCCGGCAAACGTTGTTCTACGATATAATTTTTTTTCTGTATTTGGACACCCTAATCACCTAGCGGTATGAAATATACTTGACTTATTCTCATACCTACCAAATATACATAAAAAGATCATAAAAATTTGGTCGTGCCGTTTCGGAGGAGTTCAGCCACAAACATCGTGACACGAGACTTTTTAAGAGATTTAATTTTATTATTAAAGATAGTACCTGCGGTACGTTTAGATTATTTTCCGGTGACAATTACCATTGTTAACAGCCACAGATTAAGGATCTGCGGTTAACAGTAGAGATATTGGATATTTATCTTAACAGACCAAGAGAGTTTGTATACTGTGTAAGGAATTATTCGATAGTTTCCGGACTTTATAACTGAAACCTAATCTCGACTTCTGTTTCAGTATACCAAAAACGAAATTTTCTTTTGAACCTACAATGAAAGTAGATTTGCACACCATGTATGGTCAAATATGAGGGCGAAATAACCTAATATGAACCATTTGAAACTCATATTTGAGCAAATAAACTATTATTATTATTAACAGAATGCCTATTTTGTAATTTAGAGGTAAATTAAAGTAATAAATTGTTGAATTGTTGCAAATTTATTGATATTCTCGATTAAAACAGGAAAATATAGTAATACCGTGATTAAAACAATTATTCTCTGGAGATGCAGAAATTATCTTGAATTACCTAACCAATTGACATGTCTGAAGTAATATTATATTGTAATGTAAATATATATTTCAAACATCCATTTACAAAGATTATTTGGAAGGAATTGTGTAGAGATAATCTTTTTTATATTTATAAGCTTTTACATAAGTTTGATAAAAAAAAATATAAATAAGTATGATTTAATTACAAATAAAATTAAAAATATATTTATAAATTTGGAACATACGTAAAAAAGCTTATTTTAAATCAGTTGGTAGACTGTTGCCACGAGTATATTCGATACACGCCAAACCTTTTAGGATTATCCAGACAGACTTGTAGCAGCTCAATACTGGATGGGTAACTGTGTTAGGTTTTCGTTTTAAAACACTTTGCTACTATATCA